GCACTGAATTCTCTGCGTGTGTTTTCTTATTTACTAGTTCGAGTCCTAATACAAAAACCAACAACAGAAAAAAATGCAGTGTATATATTCAAGAGAACATAGGTAAGACAACAGGTAATTTTTGTGGCTTGAATTTCTCAAGAATATTAGCTGAATTTGCTATTTACCAGGGGTTACATCAACGAACTAGGGCAAAGTCACAATCAGATCAACACAAAACCGAACTTCTAACAGTGTCAATCCAAAGGGCTCGGGTCACTTCTTTGACTCTGCCCTCTGCAGCACACACACAGCTTGTCTCCTAGGCTCAGGCCAACTCCACTCCACACCTGTAGGTGTCCTTAGCAGTCATCCCGTGGTACTGGCGTCTCCAAAACACTGGGGTCACCTCCTGCAACTGGGCTGCACTTTCACCAACAGCCTGTCATAGGCTCTCTTCATGGCATGAAGCCTCAACTTCTCTGCATGATTCCTTCAATCCGGGGCCTTCAGCTGGCACTGGGGCCTCACCTTTCCTGGCTTCTCACGGTGCTAAGCCTCAGCTGCTCTCCATGACCCCTTCAGGCCTTCAAAATCACCCAGTACCATCTGGGTGACTCTTGTGCTACCAAGCACAGCTGCCAGCAGGAGATACAACCTTGGCCGCCTCTGGAACACAGCTTTTCTGTGCTCTAAGGAGACATTTCCCAGACAACAATGCTAGTTTCTTCTTAATCACTGCTAATTTCTCACCTCCAGCTGACAGCACTGAGTATCCCAGCAAAGCAAAGGATTCACTTTAGTAGTTCAGTTATCTTGTTAACACAGCTGATTTTTCAGCCTCAGTGACCAAGGCAGCTTATAGAAAAACAGGCATGTTTGGGTTTACAGTTCCAGTGGGTTAGGAGACCTTCAACATCATGGAGGAGGAGAGCATGATAGCAGACAGGTATGGAGGTTGGTGCGGAAGCTGAGCTCATATCTTGAACTGCAAGCAGCAAGCAGAGAGAGCAATCTGGGAGTGATGCGTGGCTTTAAAACCCCAAAGGCCACCCCCAGTGACATATATTCTCCAAAGCCACACCTCTTAAACCTACCCAAACCATACTACAAACTGGAGACCCAGTATTGAAACACCTGGATTTCATCTTACTTCTATTTTATTATACTGTGTATAATGCAGCTCCTTATGGACTGTGCTATTTTCTGTGAGATGAGAATGTTCCCCATAGGCTCAGGTGTCTGAATACTTGGTCTCTGGTTTCTAAAAATTATTCAGAATTTCCAGGAGACAAAGAAGAAATTTTTAGGATAGATAGGTGAAAAGATGAGGCATTGTTACTGACATGTTTACATTCTATGCATTCTATGTATGAACTCACTTCACAGTCGAAAGGATTCTGTAAATTAACCAACAATCTAAATCATTCTATAGTGTTCTTATAGCCCCAGATGACAATTTGAAGCAAATCAGTAGCAAATCCCAGTGGGTATTTTTTTTTCTTTGTTCTTCATGAAAACTGTTCTGATGAATAGAAATATCTGAATGTAAGCATGTGAACAAGTCAAATGCAGAGGAATGTCAGACAACCTTGTAATTAAATTAGTGATGGTTGCCAGTTGAATGTTTTTGCCCAGAAATGTTTAGTTGTTATGTTGTATAGTTTCATGTCCAGTTGACAGCAGCTAAAATCATTAGAGAAGAAAGAACCTCATTTAAGAAAATACTTGCATAAAATCAGGCTGTAGGCAAGCCTGTAGGGCATTTTCTTAATTAGGGATTAATAGGAGAGGGCCCAGCCCTTGTGCCCAGGCTGGTACACCTGGGTTCTATAAGAAAGCAGGCTGGACATGCCCAGAAGATGTCCAACCAATCCCTGGCCCAACCTGAGACCCACCCCATGGGAGACAGCCAACCCTTGACACTAACAGTGAATTCTGCTTGCTTGCAGACTGCAGCCTAGCATAGCTGTCTTTTGAGAGGCTCCTCCCAGCAAATGATCAAAACAGATGCTGAGACTCACAGCCAAAGATTGGGCAGAGCACAGGGAGCCTTGTGGAAGAGTGGAGGAAGAATAGAAGGACCCAGAGAGGACAGGAGCTCCACAAGAAGACCAACAATGCCAACTTACTTGGGCCCAGGGGTTTCTGCAGAGACTGACGCACCAACCAAGGACCATGCATGGACTGAATCTAGGGTCCCTACACATATATACCCAATGGGCAACACGCTCTTCTTAAGTCTTCTAGTGAGGGGAGGGGGGTTGATGGTGGAGGAGGGGTGGGGTGCTGTTTCTGACATGGACTCTGTCACATGCCTTTTGATCATTTCCCCCTAGTGTGGCTGCCTTGCCAGGTCACTGTGGAAAAGGATATGCTTAGTCCTTATGCTGCTTGTGTGTGGGGAATGTTGAGGTGAGCCTTTTGGAGGCCCCTAGGGAATGGTGAGTGAAGTGTCAGTGACTCCTACAGCTCCACGAAAGATCCTGTTCCACTGTACACAGTGTTGATACACTTGGGACTCCTAACACGCTAGAGACATCTCAAAATGGATCCAAGGGTAGGGCGGTGACTGCTTCCCGTCTCTTTTCAGAAGCCTCCTAAGGTGACCTTCCTCCCACCCACCCAGACATCTCCCACACTTCCTTATAGTTGCACCAACCTGATTGATTGTTACTGGTGCTTGAGGCGAGCATGACATGGTCTTATTGGCCTTTCAGTCATTTAAAGGCCTTACACTGGACAATAAAGTTAGGTCTGCACCTTTGAGTCTGGTCTCCAGAGTCTCATTCCTGGGAGTCTTCGTGGGCTCCATTGCCGCTCACTCCGCTTCCCCTGGTTCCTGATACCCACAGACATGAAGTGCTGGCGTGGGTATGTGGGGGGGGGGAGTGAAAGGGAAGGAGAGGGAGGAAAAGAGAGGTTGGTACCAGGGGGAGAGGACCGTGGGGACTACAATTGAGATGTAAAGTGAACAACTAAATAAGTCAAGTTAAGGTTTTTTTTTTTTTTAAGCAGTCTGAGGAAGCCATGAGGAACAAGCCAGTAAGCAGCACCTCTCCATAACCTCTGCATCAGTTCCTACCTCCAAGTTCCTACCCTGCTTGAACTCCTGTCCTGACTTCTTTTGATATAATGATACGGAAGTGTAAGCCGAATAAACCCTTTCCTCCCAGGCTTGCTTGTTGGTCATGGTGTTTCATTACAACCATAGAAACCCTAATAAAGACAGCTGTTATGGGTTATCTGCTTTCCAGTGTTATATGCTGGGAAAGTAGGATGAAGCACAAAGGACACATGTCCAGCATCCCAGGGTTCCAGGTGCATGAGAAAGGGTCCTGACAGCTGGTGTTGGGGAAGTACACAGTAGTGCAGTCAAACTTGGTCTCTGGCTCTGTCCGAGGGTTACCACAGCTGACAAATCATTCCACACTCTGCCTTACTACCTGAAAAATAGTCCTTTTGGGAAAAGGCACTTCTGCTATCCAGTTTAAGTATAGGAAATGTCCATTACCAATAAGTATCTATGCAAATGAAGCATGCTGCCAGTAGTCAGGACAGGGTAGAGTGTTTCAAGACTCTTGGTGCCTTCTTCAGGGAGTAGCAATGTGACTGAGAAACCTCATCTAAAGCAAGGCTATAGTACACATTGGAATACAGTGTAATGAGAACTGGCAGCCACAGGAGTGAGTACTCTAGGGCGCTGATGGCTGTTGGGGCTTCCTTTTAGGGGTTCAAGAGAAGGAGTGTGGTTACAAGGAGCTTAATTTGGGTGGTTCTCTGTTTTGACTGACAAGCTTGGATTGCCTAAACCCTTCCCACAACACGTCTGTTTTTAATGATACACATGTTCAGTTGTACTAGGCCTCATTCGGTAAACAGAAGATTCTCTCAACAGGTTTGCTTTGCCTTGTTGAGCACACACCCCAAACCAGCCTAGACTGGACTGACCCATTTCCCATAGTTCCAAGATACATTAACATTATGTTTGATGAGAAACTGTCAATGCTTGATGGTCCTTACAGGGATGAAAAACTTGTATTGTTTAAGTAGGTGAAAAGTGCAGCTCTATGGCTGTGGAGGTCTTGGGGTGCAAACAGATCACGAGGTGCATTGTTTAGACATGGGACATGTGTGCACAGCATGTACAGGAAATGAACCTGGGCTCCCAAGCGTGTTACCAAAGAGAGATGTGTGCAGAACTCAAATGAAGTAGATTCCCAAGTTCCTAAACTATTCCCTAAGCTCCCCTGCTCTGTTGCAATATGTTCACTCCTGCTAATTGCCAGGAGCAGTGTTTTGGTTGTTGTTTCTGTAGAAACTTGTATGTAGTAGGGCCTTTTTCTACTACCTATCATTGCTCCCAAATAGAAGACTTGGAGTGTTATTAGATTTATTCAACAGTTTTAAGCTCTATAACTGCTCAGCTATTTCTCTATTCTCACCCAATTATGCTAGTCTGGCTCCCTCCCAGCCATGAGCTCTTTTACTTGCCATCTCAGTCTTGCCTTGGCCTTCTGCCATGACTCTCCATCCTCATGGCAAACTCCTCAAGGTCCTCCTTGTGGTGACTTCCTCCTCAGTTCTTTTTCTCTCTCCTCCTCCTCTCTCTCTGTCCCTCTCTCTTTCTACCTGAGTCCTCAGACTGGGAATGGATGTCCTGCCTGCTCTCTCCTCTGCCCAATCATCAGCTCATCAGCTTCTTTCTTAGCCTCTCGGTGACAACTGGGGAGCATTCTTTACACAACATTGAGACAGGATGTTCTTCATAGAAATGACAATGCCCACATCCAGACTGCAACTGGATCTCAGGGCACAGCATCTGAATACAACGTGTACGAGAACATTCCCCAACAGTTTCTGATTTACTTATTAAGTTGCCCAATTTATTAGTTATTGATCTTGTTCTAATGATAAAAACAACAAGTGAGGTGGCTTCGAGAAGAGTTTAATTTGGCTTTTCATTCAAGAGGGTTGGAGTTCATAAAGGCAAGAAAGCAGGAAGCATGACAGCTGGAGTAGAAAGCTGAGAGCTCACATCTGAACAAGAAGCATGAAGTAGAGCAAACTACAAGTAGCTGGGCTTTTGCTCTCAAAGGCCACCTCCAGTGACATTCCTCCAGCAAGGCTGCACTCCCTGAACCGTCTCAGACCATGCCAGCAACTGGGGACCAAGTGGTAAAATGCCCAAGGCTATGGAGGACATTTATCATTTAATCCACCACACCTTGAACTCATGACTCTCCTGGATCAGCCTTCCCAGAGCCACCAGTTTCTGCATTGCCAGCATTTTAATAATGATTTTGCAAATGGTTTTCTGTGGCCGCTTTGCAGATGAGCTCAGACACAAACAGTGAGGGTCACTGTCTTCAGGATTTGAATCTGGTGCCCCTCAGCTGCCTGGGCTTCTCTCCACAGAACACCTCTCTTAGAATGGCACATCTGTGTCTCTGTACATTTACATTAACAGAATAATGAACACGTAAGCATCACGCTGCTGTTAGAGTCCATGCTTTGTGCCACTATGTGCACTGGGAGAGCAGACAGCAGAGAAAGACTGAGCACAGAGATCTGCTGTGGATGGAAGAGTAATTGAGATGAGATTCACAGTCAGGAGTCATTGCACATGGTAGCACATTTTGGTTCCTTTTGGCAGATCCAGCGGTAGTCTGAAACACAGCTCTCAGAAACCACTTTGTCGTCTGAGATGCTGACACAGCTGCCTTCTTTAGCTTCACCAGTGACTTTTAACCTGAGGAGGAAGAGAATAGCTGCTCTTAGCGTTTAGGATTATCTCCTCATTACCCTGTCAGCCACTGTTTTCTTTGGACTTTAAAGAAAAGGGTAAAGTGCACAATTGTAGAGTATAGTAAACACAAACATAATGTTGTAAAGGTTAAAGGCAGAGCTGATAGAAACCTCTAAAACTTGTTGTTTCTTCATTGGCTAAGACCCTTCCAGCAAAAGTCTTCATCATGATGCAAAGGCAGTAGAAGGATTAGAGAGATCATTAGTCTTTTCATTCCACTACAGACACTGCCTGTGCAAAGCTTCATTTGACTGAGCTTCAGTTTTCTTTAATATACAGAGGTACGGGATGGAGAGATGGCTCAGTGGTTAAGAGCACTGGCTGCTCTGGCAAAGGATCTGGGTCTAATTCCCAGCACCCCCACAGTTGCTCACAGTGTCTGTAACCGCAGCCCCAAGGGATCTGATACTCTCTTCTGGCTTCCATGGACACCAGGCATTCATGTGGTACACATATACACATGCAGGCAAACACACCTACACATAAGACAAAATGAATAAATCTCTAAAAATTGATTAATAGAAGAAAACATACTGTATGCATTATGTGTGCATGCACGCGAACACACACGTTTGTGATTTAACTAGCTAATGTTTGAGGAAGTATTGAGATAACCATGAAAGTGTGACAAAAGTTACACACAGTAGGCACTCAATGGATGTCTTCAAAATATGGATTATGTTCTCAGGGGCTGGATGCAGAGGTCTAAAGAGGCTCAGCTCACGTGACACACAGTCACAATTCCTTTCACAGTCATAGTTCCCTTCATTCTCTTTCCATAAGTGGGTAAGCATTTGATTAACATGTAAGTTTCCACTGTTCACGGCTCCCGTGGCTCCGTGCTGATGGAGACACTAACAGAGACAGTCTCAGGGTGGACTGGAAGAGAGAGATGACTTCATAATGCACTGATGGGTCTTAAAAAGAAGGTGGCCTGTGATAGCGGGAAGGGCTCCCCCACCAGTGTCCATCCTTTTTTTAGTTTTTCCTGGAGCCCCTTGAACTTGAGGGGCAAATCTGATGTCATCCTAATGGTCAGCATTAGTCCAGCCATGATTTGTCCTCTTTGTTTCTCTCATCCTTCAGGATCTTTCTTTAGTTTTCAGTATAAATTCCTTAAAACTGATCTGTTTAAGTCAATGGCTCCCTTTCCAAATTCCTTCAAAGCTTTCCAGGCCTTCTCCTACCAGGCACCTTAAGAATTCTCTAACTTTCCTTATGTATTCCCCAAATAATCTGTGGGGCAAACTGATTACCTGTCTCTTTTTCCTACCTGAAAGCCAGGGACAGAGAATTGAAACAGAAGTGGTCTTGCTTGAATGACATTCTTTCAATTGAGGGTGTCAGTCTCCAGGTTTACCATTGGCTTTTGCCTAATCACAGTGTCATTGAGTCCTCAGAGTAAAATGGCAGATTCCCTGAGCTTAATCTATATACTTCATATGTAGTTCTCTACTCTATGCCAACATTTCATGTTTAACAATTTCTTTGCTTAATAAATAATCATTACATTTTATATAAACCTAAATGCGTTTCAGCATTTTACATTTCAATCTCATGTGTTCTGAGTAACAAGTTCTATATATTCCATATCAAGTTGTGTGAATTGCTCAAGTTTATTCAAACATGATTATTAAAACAGTTCTGAATATTACTCCTGAAAACCCCACTGGAAGTACTGTATAAAAATATTACTAAATCTTACATACTTTTGCTTATGAAAGGAATGAATATTTTGCTCTTGCTATGCAAACAATCATGAATTCTGCTAAAATACATAAATTAAACTCTGAAGTGTCAGCTCTCTTGTTGCATTCACAGTTACCATGACAATCTCACACAATAAGAAAATGACAAAATGCCAAAGACCTAACAGCTTCTTTGTGAGCTACACACAATTACAGTTTTGATACCAAGTACCCTAAAAGGTCCTGTGTGAGGTAGCTGTGAAGCTGTTAAGAGGTGACTGGATCATGGGAGCGATAACTCCACCAAAGAGTCAACCCCATTGCTGAGTTCCCAGCCAAAGGAAAGGAAGCCTCAAGAAAGATGTAAGCCATGGGGGCCAGGCCTTTGCAGGTCAGATCTCTGCCTCATTCCCTCCCTGTGGGTTTGCCAACTTCTCTGCTTCCTACCAACCGCAAGGCAAGCAACTTGTGCCCTTATAACAACATTTCTGCATGGACACAGGACTAGCAACAATGGAGCAAGCTGATGATGGATTTGAGGCCCCTTGAACTGTGATCCAAAATGATTCTTCACTCTTGTTTATCTATGATATTTTATTACAACAACAAAAGCTGATTCATGCCTGTCTCCATCACAGGTCCTCAAATAATTGTATCTTTCATAACCGTAAACTAGGATGCAACCTGTGACGATGTGGTCATTTCTCTGAGCTGTCAAAGCTCCATGCTGACACTTACTTCTTTTCCTTTCACACCCACACTTCCTCTGCTGGTTGTGACCTGAGAAACTGGCCTCATGAAACAATATGGCTCATTTTAGCCACAGCCTGAGCAGTTCCATTTAAGAAATTCTTTGGAATATATAGTAAGTATAAGAGGGAGAAAAGAAAAGGTCTAAGTGCCCATAGGCTCTAAGTTAGCAATTTAAAAATGTATATTCTTTCCAAAGAAGTTAGTTTAGTTCCCGGCCTTAGAACTCCATTGTATACATACATACATACATACAAAAATACATACATATACATGACCTTACAAAATGCTGGTATCATTTCATACATGGATATTTTCAAACACCTTTGGAATCATACTATCACTGACTGACTGTTCTGAACCTCTTTAATCTTGAATATCAGTGTCAGAGCCCTACAGTGTAATGACCTGAAGTGAATATTCAAGTTAGAATCTCTATACTCACACATCAGAATTTAAGGAAGAACCGTTTATCCACTTCCAGGACTTGGCCAGCAATTCATAACTTAGTCCAATCCAAAACGGAAAGTCTCTTTTCTTTGTCCAGTCCTGTAGGAATCTCTACAATCAAAACAGAGTATAGGACTTAAACCTGAGACTGTGTCTGGGTGACTCGTCCACCAGACTCCTGAAACCTAGTTCAAGGTCACCTGTCTCTGACCTGAGTGTCCAGTTAGTTCTTCCTCCTTTGTGAAATCTGTGCCCATATTTATGATCCTAAGACACTCGCCTTCCATACATAGTTATTGGCTCCATGTCATCAGTCTCTCAGACTATGAGCTTCCTTAATGTCCCCACTTCCTTTGCATGGAAGATGTGTAAGTCTAGACGGTGGTGTAGCTTCAAGAACAGCTAACATCTCTATTTTGTTGAACAACTTACCAGCTCTTCTTGGTCTTGAACAAGCAGCAAAGTGGCTCCTTTCTGATTACAGTCATCCAGACCTTCCTTCCAAGTGTTGGTAACTTCAGAAAAATGTGTGCATTTATGTCTGTATGGAACCCAGTCTTTTTGGCACTTTAACTTAGCTGAGCTGTCTGAGAAGGAGACACGGAATATTTCTACCTGTTCTTACTGCACCACAGCCAGCTGCACACAGTAGTTGCTTTACTAACACACACTTTCACTAACAGGCGCAGGAAGGAGAGTACTGTCATGACAGATCTAAAATGTACATAAAGTAAAATATATATACATATATATTCACTTTTGTTTTTATTAATTAACTTCAGGCAAAGTTAACTACTTGATCCATTTGCTAAAACAAATATCCCATTTGAGCATTTTCTTAAGTTAATGATCAAGAGTGCTAGCACCCTGAGGCAGTACAGCCAACTGGTTAAGACCTTCAGGCTTCAGGGTCACACAGTTTCAAAGATTTTCTCAGGTTTTCCAACTACCCATCACGAGACCCTCAACAAGTTTCTATGTAGCAATTTCCTGTAACATAGGACTACGGTGATACACTGTCTTCATGGATGGCTGTTGTAAGCCTTGGCTGATGTAATCGCCCAGTAAATAGCAAAATTCAGCTAATATTCTTGAGAAATTCAAGCCACAAAGATTACCTGTTGTGTTACGTATGTTCTCTTGAATATATACACTGCATATTTCTATTGATGGTTTTTGTATTAGGACTCGAACTAGGAAATAAGAAAACACACAGAGAATTCAGTGCTGAAGTGAATGGTGTGACAGGTGTTTTATTTCTCACTCCAGGAAATTGAAGTTATTTCAACAAACCTGAATATCTGGATTGAAGATTAAAATATTAGCAAACTGGATTGAGAACCAGTTTAGAGACAGAATAAATAAATAAAAACGCAGAACATATGGATTCACACCACTGTTAAGTCACATCTGATCTAATGGCCTTATAGAAACCCTTAACTTACCCACACTCAGGCCTGAATGAGTATTATTACATCCCTTTCAAGAAAGTTAGCTTACTGCCATTGGAGTTTAGTAGCCATTTAATAAATTAAGCTTCTGAGCCTTTTAGTCATCTTCATTGTTGTTGTTTTTGTCACAATTATGACTTTTTTTAAGGTTCTGAGTACATGTGGGGTGTGTGATGGCAGCTGGGGGGGGGACACTTGGAGTCAGCTCAGAACACACCCAGACACCAAATCCTCAGCACAAAGAAGATTTATTACACTGGGATGAAGAGAGAGTGTGTGCCTCTGGATCAGGCAAAGACAGCAGCAGGTGTGTTTTTGCAGGAGTGGGTTTTTGAGGAGTAAAAGGGGAAGTTTGTGCTAGGGTGAGTTGGTAAGTGCTGTTTGTACTAACTTTAGCCAGTGTAGCCAAATAATGAATTTGGATTACTGGACCTTGATGTTTTGATAGTTGGACCTTGGTGTTCAGCCTCAAGAATAAGCTTGGCATAAGAAAGTGTTTAAATAAGGGACTGAACCTTTGGTGCCAGCTTTAGAAGGGTAATCTAATTGTTTAGCAAAGGAGAGGAAAGGGGAAAGAGCAAAACCTGCTGGCTGCCATCTTTGCCATGCTCTGGTCTTTTAGAGATCCCCTGGTGACTCTCAGAGGAATTTGGAAGCATGAAATGAATGTGAAGTTTCTGCCCTGGACATAGATACTGTCCTGTAAGCACTCATGTCATTGACCTTCCCCCAGGTTCAAGGCCAAGTCATCTGAAGAGGCAGTGATATTTGTGATGGAAAGAGAGGAAGAATTCTGAAGCAAAAGTTCTTGCTTTACCTACCTAAGATGCTCATCCCAATCAGGGTCAAGAGAAGAAGGATCAGGCCAGCACAGCTGAGTTTCAGAGCCAGCCTGTGTGAACATGAGTACTGGCAGGCATCTGTGAAGTTAGAAACCTTGTTACTCATTTAGGTCAGTTGAGTACATCTGGAATACTAGTTAAAGGTGGTTTGGATCAACATGGACAATTGGATTCAAGTAGACGGTTAGCTGCAGATATGTGTCTTCTTAAAGCAGAATTCCATGAAATATGAGCCTTCTTAAAGTAGAATTCCATGAAATAAATTCTCTATTAGGTTCTGAAACCCAAAGAATTAAAAATTAGTTTTTTGGGGGGTTATTGAATTGAAGTTTAAAGCACATGCCTGAACAAAGGCAAGGCAGATGGAGAAATGTCCAGCCACCTGTGGGGAGGAATCAGCCTTACTGCATTCTTTCCCTGCCCACTAGAGGTACAGTTGCTAGGAAAGTGGCTCAGATGGCCGGGCCAGAAGCACCTACAGAAATACCATCTCCTGGCAACCCACCTAGGTGGCCTGACCAGAACCATTTATGGACTTGGTGCCTAATGTAAACCAATCATTTCAAAAGTCACTTTCCCTTACCCAATCATATAACGCCAAGGCATGTAACTCCCTGCCTGCAGGTTTGCTTTTAAAAACCTTTTCCCCCTAGATCGTCCAGCCACATATGTTGTAAATGGTCGATTAATATTTACTAATAATTATCTTTTATTAAAGCTGCTGTTAGTCCTAAACAGTTGTATAACCAAATCACCACACAGAGACTGGGTTTATTTAGTGAACCTAGAACACAATGCTGGGCAATAATTATTCCCTCTTAAGCCTCCAAGCCCTCATACTTTCCTAACATTTAGATTTTACCAGTTATACTTGCTTTTTGTGAAATCTTAGGTCTGGTTCATTCTCCACATTGGTCCAAAATCTATCCTCCAGCTCTGCTCTCCAAGCTCTCTCGCCTTTTCTCCTCCTACTCATTTCCTGCCTTCTAGCTCCTCCCCTCTTTCCGGTCCTCTGGTTTCTCCCCTCTCCTGCGTACTTCCTTTCCCTATCCAACATTGTAGATAGTTGCTTTATTTTGGCCTGTTTACACAAAGCTGAGACAGGATGCTTAGAATAAGTATCACAATGCAATGTCCGGATTGAAACCAAAGAGTGGGGTTGGGAGAAATCAGCATTTGAATGAACAAGGATAAGGTGTATACATTTCCAAAGAACATTACAGCAGCACACATACCTCTCTGTTTCCACGGGGTGCTTTAGACCCAGGCTCGAGCAAGTATCAAATAAACTTTCATGTGTTTTGCAATGGACTCACCTTCTGGTGATGTTTTGGGGTCTCATGATCTAGGTACAGTATTTTTGGAGGTCCAACTGATATTCCTGGACCCTCCAAGGACTCCAGAACCTCGGTCCAGAGGGTCCAATACTGGCTGATGAGGTTTTTTTTTTTTTTTTTTTTTTTTTTTTTTTTTTTTTTTTTTTTTTTTGTTTTTTTTTTTTTTTTTTTTTTTTTTTTTTTTTTTTTTTTTTTTTTTTGTCTCAGTGTTTCTGTGTCCATATGTATGTCTACTTTCTCTTCTCTGAAAACCCTCCAGGTGTTGGTTAAAATGGCAAAATGTAGACAGGAGCAGACGCACTTGTGGGTAACAGCCACTGTGGTCCTGGTAGATGTCCCTGGATCTGGGGTGGTTGATAGAGAGCCCACCCATGAATTGGAGAATTTTGGTGAATATGGAATCCCACCATTTAATCTATTCTCTGTGCTGCTCTGGGCTTCCATGGCAGAGTCTGAGCTTGAGTTGAGAAATGGCTACACAGGCATTAGTTTGTGCTTGTCTTTTTATGTTTTTCCTTGTGTTTGTAAATCTTTGTTTATATCAGACTGTGGGACTGGGACTGTGATAGACTTCCTCTAATCACACCCCCCCACCCTGTTCCTTCTGACCCTTCCACTTGCAGGTCATTCCTCATTTCAGCATCATGCTGCAGAACAATCTGCAGAAGCAGCAAGATTATGAACACTCCTCTGGAGGCTGGTGATCTGGCTGGGGCATGGGGGGTAGGGGGTGGAGGAGATGTGAGGGTGGGGCCAGGGATGAAACTGTTGATATTTCTCCTGGCCAGCTAGCAGCTGCCACTGAGTGCACTTTCATCATGAGCAGGGCGGGCTGCAAGAGCTTGCCCAGGCTGGTGGAACAAAGTGCTTGAAATTATGGCTGGATTTAGTAAGAAATGTTTTGTCTCTCTGTTTGGATGTATGTGTGGCCATTACATGGTTGTTTCTGAATGATCTTAAATGGTTAATATGCTTTGTATGTCTTGGTTATAGATTAAGAGTTATTGGATATGTTTAAAGGTTAAAGGCAAACTCTTGTTTAGAACATATATGTGTGCATATGTGTTTGTAAGATCTATAGAAGCACAGAGGTTTTTAAATAGCAACAATGTGCCTTGTCATGCCATGTGATGTGACTCTGCCATCTTGAAATTGCCATGTAGTATGGGGCAGAACAAAGGAAAAGAAAGATTACAGAACCTCTTAGTCATGATAAATCTTGTTTATCATCCTATTTCCTTTTAGACTAAGAATACAAGTCTCATTTTAAAATGATATTGGTTTTAGAGATTGGAATGTTTGCACTGGTAAAATTTGGTTTTGACTTTTAAAATTATGGTTAGGCTTTGTAACTTCACTCCTAAAAAGGCTACTTTATTTTGATATTGCAAAAACAAAATTCTTCTAAAAATGTGTTTAATACTATGAAACAGTTTAAAGTTTATCAGGCATTTTAAATAATGTTCTTGGGCAGTCTATCAAAGAACTTGGAACAGTTCCTTAACCCTTTGGGGGAGGACAAAAGACCTTGGTAATTATTTTATTAACTTTACCAAGTGAAACCAAGCCGTACTGTCTGAGTCAATTAAGTAAACTGCACTTTTTACAGTGTATCATATCAGGATGGTAAGGTAAAAACCCATGGAAGGACTTAGTAAAGAAATGATGACAAGGATTTTAATGGAAGCTTTTATGTTGTCTGAAAGGCAAGAGAGAAAGCAAGAGACTAGGATAGTAAAGGAAAGAAACAAAAGCCTAACCTGAAGGTATATAGAATGTTATGGAAAATCAGTGTGTATAGAAAGCCAACGGGCATTTGAACTGTATTTGCTTTGGTTTTTCATACCTGCAAATATGATTGAAGAAGGAACTGTAAAATATATTGTTCTTCATTTAAAAGGCTGGTGATTCTTCAATGCAAAATGTTTCCTTATGCTCTTTAAAGGGGAAAGAGGACTGCATCTCCATGTTAGCCCAAGGTTATATAGGGTTGTTTTCAAGTCATTGTTAACCATTATATGAAATATATGCCTGACCACCAAGTCCTGAGTGAATGCATAGATGCTGATTCTTTCTGGCCAATAGGTTTGGTATGGCCAGAATAGTTCAAGTACAGTTTAAAACTGTTCTATACTGTTCTGTTAGGCAGTTGGTTCTAAAACTTATTTGATTGCAATTTAGAACTTAGTTACAGGAAAGTGTAACTGCTCCACAGTGCTTGCTATACTGTGGGAGGTAGCAATGCCATCAGTGGTGCCTAATGGCTATGATTTGGACTGCTGGCCACAGCCTGTAGCAACACATGGCTAGCTGCCATGTTGATTCAAGAATAAAGAAAGTGGACCCATGGTTTCACTGCCTTCTTTGTTGAGGACTTCCAGCTGTGCTCAGTTCTCTGTTTAGTGCTAAGTGAAAATTTTGTCCTTTAACTTTTTGCTGTTCAGTCTTAATGCAATGTTGTAGGATCAGCAAGATTTGCTAGCCCCTCTATGAACTCTATCTGATTGAAAGTTTTGCTTTGATTTTAGTTCAGAAAGATATTTAAAGTTATGCTAATGACTGTAGTTGGTTACAAGATTGAGCTTTACCTAGTCTTTTGTTATTATTTTCAAGGTTAAGCCTAGAAAGCCTAAGATGATGGGTAACAACAAAGTTTGCCTATGTAGATCTACTTGAATTAGATATGGTCCTAAAACACTTATCCAAGGAATATACCAGAATTAAAGATTATGGCATTCTGTTTTACCAGTTAATTTCGAGTAGATGACTAACGATAGACAAAGAGCAATTCATATGCTGGCTCTCAAGCTTGTCAGAGATCTGATGAATGTGGCGTTTTAACATGTGTAAACTTATTATGACAGAGTCCCCAGTCCTGGCAGTAGTTCCTCCCCAATCCTGGCAGTAGCTCCCCAAGGTCTGAGAAGATTTGGGCACAACGACAGATGACTTTCGACTCTGCATTGTGGTATGCTAACTACTGGGCAAGACCACCACAACTGGCCCACCACGAGGGTCCAACCCAAACTGTGGACAAAGCTGTGGACACCTGGAGAGTCATTGTTTCACTTTGCTGAAGATGAGGCGAGGTCATTATCTCATGTTCTTTTTTTTCCACAGAAATAGTCTCTCATCTTCTGTGCCTAATAGCTGGACTGCCTCTGCTTATGATGCTATGAGACCACAGGAGCCAGGGACAACTGCCTAGGTGGTGGACTGACCAGTCATCTCTGTCATTTTGATTGGCACATACATAGACTGGAACATTTATTTGGTTTATATTTATCCTACTCAGGTCTCTGATCACATTGATGGCTAAGCTAAAGAAAAGAAAATTGAAGAAAAGACAATTAAATCCACTGTTAGTTCATTGGTGAATGCATTAGCTAGTTAGAACTACTAGGTACTAGATCTTTTACTTAGAAAGGCAAACAAGTTTGCCTTACTCACAGGCTTCATGTTAATTTTCTATGTCTTATGGTGAATAACTGGATAGGTCTGAGGATATAAAAGTGTAAGTTATGAGGATCTAAAAAATTGTATGAGGGTCTAGGAAAATGTTTCAACGTTTGTAAATGCAAGGAAGATTGGAGGGTCTAAGTAGGTGTTTTAAGGTATGTGAATGTAAGTTGTAATGATATAAGAAAGCAATTTAAGGCATATTGAAAATGGGAGATATTTCAGATTTCTCCCTCCTCTCTGCTATTGTTGTGCTTGTGTTGTAAGATTTCAGAAGTTCAGAGTTACAACATGGATCAATAGAGTTCTGATAAGTTGATGGAGCACTGACTGCTTCTTATCCAGTCAGAAGCTTGAGATTTTAATTTCCTTTTGGTTGTCTTCTGGAGATAGACTTAAAGGTGCTTCTCATCATGCTAAAAACATCTGTCTAATGTGTAGATCTCAGACCTAAAAGACATAGTTTTTGCAAGGTTTTCATGGCATGAGTCTACTGCATCCTTGTAGACACTTGTTAACTGCTTTTTCTAAAGTATGGATCTCAATATGATGGTACTCCTAATCTACTTCCTTTTGTAAACTAAAATTCATATGAGTTTCAGGAAATCAAAAAGTCAGAATGCCTGGATCTGGCATAACTCAAATGGACCCCAGATGAGTTTTTTCCCTTGGTCTTGGGATTCCTCACTTTCCCTAATTATTAGACAAATTTTAACTTCTATCTTGAGCCTGCATTTGTCTCTGTAGATTTTCACCTGGTTGACAGACTCTATTCAGGGATCAGCTATGAACTCCAAGCTGAAACCTGGACTTTCTGGAAGCTGGCACGATTGCCCCCTGCCCCTTCAGGTAGATCAACTAACCAAATGCTTCTGACGACTGTCCCATTGGGGCGTTTCACACTTCCTCACCCCTGATGGGGATGGCACCCTGGTCAGCACTGAAGCAGTACAGAAGAGACCTTCACCCTAATCCCACCTGGCAGGCTGAATGCTAAGTCAAAGGGGGCTTCCTGACATTAGTTACTATCTTGGGAACCTGCTTAGCTGGAGTAGGAACTGCTATTGCAGCGCTGGATGCACAAAGCCAGAATCATAACAGTTTAAAGGCAGATATTGATAAAGACAGTCAATGCCTTGAGTACTCAATCACCCAGTTAGAAAAGAATGTTGATTCCCTGGCAGAAGTAGTGTTGGGAAGGGGCTTGGATCTGTTGATTTTACAGCAGGACAGGCTATGGGTAGACCTTAGAGAGAAATGTTGTTTTCATGTAAATCAGTCAGGAATGATTAGGAAATCCTTAGCAAGAATTACAAAAAGCCTGGAGAGATGCTGGCAAGACAGGATTCCAGAAGATGGTTTAAATCCTGGTTTAATAGTTCTCCTTGGTATACTTCCCTTATATCCACTCAGATGGGACCCCTACTTATTTTGATTTTTACCTTTGGGCCTTGTATTTTAAGTTACTTGATGGCTTTCATGAAGGAATTCTTGGGAGCAATACAACTAATGGTACTCAGATCCCATTGTGGATAGGTAAATCTGGAGAATACCAGGGGTTGTATCTGGAAGACTCAAGATTGGGTCTTCAAATGATCATGGGAAGGAGAAAATGAAAGACCAAAGAATTAAAAATTAGGGTTTTTTTTTGGGGGGGTTATTGAATTAACGTTTAAAGCACAAGCCTGAATGCAGGTCAGACAAGTGGAGACATGCAGCCACCTGTGGGGAGGAACCAGCCTTACTGAATTTTTCCAACCCACTACAGTTGCTAGAAAACCGGCCCAGATGGCCTGGAAGGAACCATTTAAAGAGATATCATCTTCTGGAAACCCATCTAGATGGCCAGGCCAGAACTGTTTATGGATTTGGCATCTGAAATAAACCAATCCTTTCAAAAGTCAATTTCCCTTACCCAATCACATAACACCAAGGCATGTAACTCCCTGTTTGTGGTTTTGTCCTTTAAAAACCTTGTTCCACTAGGCCTTCCAGATGAACTCCTCTTCAACAGGGAGGTTGTACAACTCAGGCTCGAGCTTGTATCAAATAAATCCTCACGTGTTTGAGTAATGCAACAAACTCAACTTCTGGTGGTCTTTTGGCATCCTGCAACCTAGGCACAACAGTTCAACTGTTCGCTTGGTAAAGTAGGACTGAAAGATAGTGCGTATGCAGGAGTTATGCACAAAGGAGTATTGGGTGAATCAAACTGGATAGATGTGAAGATGTGTTGTATTGGAGGCACCCTGCTGGTTGAGGTTGTAGTTCTCACCAAGTCAGGATAGCCATTGTGAACTCTGAGTTAAAGACAGGACTCTCTCTCCTCAATGGGGTTCCCAGCTCTCTGCCTGGCTTCATCTGGAGAATGTTCTTAGACACAGTCTCCCTTAACCACATTTGATAGACATTTGATATGTGGCTTCTGATACATCTCCCTGCTAGGTCTCTCCTCCCTGGTAGCTATATGTTAAGTAGGTAATGTGTTTCCATTCTTATGGTAGGAACTTGCTGTATAATGAATCAAGCGTCCTTGAAGTGCCTAGGTCCAACCAATTGTACACCAATTCTTAGAGCTCCCCACCCACTCACCAAGGGGTACATAGCCTTTGTTCTAATTAAAGTTGAATTAATTATTCTCTGTAATTAAAGTTGAATTAACCATCAGCTATTCGGGGTGTGTGAACCCTCTACCGAGGATGGCACCCCTGTACTGAGATCTCCTGCCCCTCCTGACTTCCTGGGTTTCTGGGAGACAGCCTCCAGGCAGAAGGAGACCAACAGTGTTGAAAGCTACTCAGAGCTGTCAAAAAATAAATCACATGTCTTAGTTCAGGAAGGGAGTCAAAGCATCTTTAAAAAGGATCTCTTTTTAATCAAGAGACATTTTTTATGCTTAATTTTTCAATAATTGTGACTTTCAGTGCCAATGACATATGATTCTATTCCTAAAAATTAGGTCTGCTTCAGTGCTGTTTACAATGATCTTCTCCACCTTGGATCTAATATATGACATTCAAGGAGAAGCATCCTTTGAATACAGATGGTATTTTCCTTATTTCAATTGTGTTAACCCTCCTTATTGGCTGAAACACCCTGAGAGATGAACTAAAACTTTGGCTGTCACCGAACAATATGCCTATATATGCACTGTTTTACACACACACACACATACACACACACACACACACACACACAGCAGACACACACCAAACACATATTATACATTATGGCTGTACCTTTCATGGTGTTCTTTCCTTAAATAGAGGACTGTCATAATTGCTCTTTGTTTTGCTCTATTCTGTTTCTGAGACAGGGTTGTCCATTAGTCCAGGCTGACCTCTAACTCTCTGTGAGGCTGACGATGACCTTGAGCTCCTGATTCTCCTGCTGCTACCTCTCAAGTGATGGGATTTTAGGTGTGCACCTCCACAAGTGGTCAAAACTTAGAGAATAAGAAACTAAAATGTTCTTTAAATATGCGTCTAATCCCATTCCCAACCAAAGCTCAGGCATCATCACAGAAGAGGTTGCAGAAGGACTGTAAAGCCATAAATGGTCGATAACTGCCACGAAATACTGTCTTCTGGACATAACAGGGCAGTTGCACATATGAACTCCAGGCCACTTGTGATAGCTCGCACAAGACCTTCAAAAGCTCAAGTCAGACAAATGTCCAGCATAGTGTGGGGAGTTGGGCATGAAGTTCCACCCCCATCTGGGGAGATACTGGCAGTTGATGGGTGCTAGGAGTGGAAGAGTCAGTTTTCTTCAAGGATTCAGTCCCTAAGAGGCCGCCTAAGCCCCATGATATGGCCCTACCGCCATGCACATGCTGGCAGCGCTCACTGGACTCAGCAGAAGAACAAACACCAAAACCTTTAGCTGTTTAAGTCCCTTCTTCCATGCTTGAACACAGAAATCAAACACTTGCTTGTGCCTATCATAAATAACCAGCTCTGTCAAATCCCCCCTCTAATTATCAAAATCTCCCACTCTCCCCAGATTCAATGTAAAGTTTATAGTGAAGCTTATTTGGTGACTCTTAAGATATTTTTCCTAGTTTAAAAAAAATCTGTTAATTTAACAGTTTCTGACGAGCAGCCTTAAAGAGTTGTCGTTCACGTTCTTGACACAATACAGAAAGATTACCTTTAAAACATTGCAGTAGTATATACGGAAGCTCAGTTGTGTCACAGAAATTCACACTATACCATGACCACTTTAGACATACTTTCTGCCTCTGTGTCTGTCTCTTTTCATCCATCCCTAAATCATGGTATCCTCTATAAATGCCTCATATCAGTCCTCCACATTTCTGGCAGACAGGGGGTCAGTTGCACCAGTGGTCAGTGCTAGGATGCTGCGGAGCTGAGCCATGGTTTTTGTGTTCTGTAGAGAAGTTTGGACCAGGCAAGAAGTTTGCTTTACAGCAAGTCTTCCTGCTCGAACCACCCCTTTTCTTGCATATGTAAAATATCCTTTCTTCAGTGTCTTGAAACTAAAGCCAAACAGAATGGCTGCACAAATTTCACACTCACTGATTGACTAAAAATGGAATGTGTGAGCATTTTTTTTTTCTCCCAGGTTGTAGCCATCTACACTCTTCAGCTCTGACAGACAGCTGGTCATCTTCAAAGCAACAGCTTAAAGCTGTAGGAAAAAAAAACAATAACTCTGCAGGATATTCTAACACCTAAAAGTGAAATAAAAAATACTGACCTGGGGGAAGAGATGGAGGTGATGCACGCTGAGCCCCCCGAATCCTGGGTGCCTTTAAATTTAAGTAGACTGTTGCTGTGTCCATTGAAGATGGGAGCTGGTACACTGAACTTGTGAGCAGGGACACAGTCCAAGTCCTTTGAGTTGAAATAAGCAAAAGGAAGTCCTCTGCAAATGCCCTGCTGTGTGTTCACACCCACTAACTCTTATCTCTGTGGGTGTCTGTGGGTGTTATTGGCTTGGTGTCTGTCCAGCTCACACAGCATACACACTATTGTCTTTTTTTTTCTTTATTCTTCTCTCATACAGTACATCCTCACTGCAGGCTTTCCTCCACCCTCCTTACCCCACACCTCCCCTTTCCCTGAGACATACTGCTCCTTTGTTTCCCTTCAGAAAAGAGAAGCCCTCGGGTGATGTCAGCCAAATACAGGATCACAAGATGCAATAGGACTAGGTGTAAACTGTCATATCAAGGCTTGACAAGGCAACCCAGGAGGAGGAAAAGGGTCCCATGAGCAGGCAAAAGACTCAGGAACACCCCAACTCCAATTGTTAGAAGCCCCACAAAAACCAAAGCTATACATTCACAGCATGTATACAGAGGGCCTAACACAGACCCATGCAGGCTTCATGATTGCCACTTCAGTCTTCAAGAAACCCTATGAGCCCTGCTTAGCGGATTCTGTGTTCTGTGTTGTCCTGGTGTCCTCTGGCTCCCGCAATCCTCCCTTTCCTTCTTCTGTGGCGTTCCTTGAGCTCTGCCTGAGCTATTGGCTGTGGGTCTGCTCCTATCACACATTATCTTTTTAAGAAGGTATAACTTGGTGTTTTCTTTTCTTAACTAAAGAGAGAGACTTTTTGGTACTGATTTCTGTAAAAATCTGTTTTGAGTTATTCTCTCAGGGTTGTTATGTACAATGATGAAAATCCCAACCATTCTATTTTACCAATAAGGACTCAGGAGTCAGATGCTAGGGTGAAAACCTGCTACCTCAAAGAGGCAGAGAAAGTAACCAGACCTTCCTTTTCAGCTCAGGTCTGGATGGAAAAACCTGAATGGGCTTACTAGCTCAGCTGACAGCCCAGAAGAAAAAGTCCAAAAAACCCAAGGCTGAAAGCTTGCTGGTACAATGCCCAAAAAGCCAGGGAGCTGAGGAGATGAAACCTAAGCTAAAGTCAGAGTTTGAGCTAAGAGCCCTTTCTTCTTCTCTACCATGTCTTATGTTTTTGAAGATGTAAGAACTTTTTTTAAATTTAATTTGATTTTTTTATTATTAGTTACATTTTATTAACTCTGTATCCCAGGTGTATCCTGCTCCTTTATTCCCTCTCAATCCCACCCTCTCTCCCTCATCTCCTCCCTGCCCCTTTCCAAGTCCACTGATTGGGGAGGACCTCCTCCCCTTTCATCTGACCCTGTTTTATCAGGTATCTCCAGAGTCCTCCTCTGTGGCCTAGCAGGACTGCTCCTCCCTTGGGGGGTGGGGATGTCAAAGAGCCTGCCATTGAGTTCCTGTCAGAAATAGTCCCTGTTCCCCTTACTATGGGAAACCAATTGGTTACTGAGCTACCACAGGCTTCATCCAAGCAGAGGTTCTAGGCTATATCCATATACAGTCCTTGGTGGAGTGTCAGTCTCAGAAAAGACCCCTGTGCCCAGATATATTTGGTCCTTGTGGAGCTCCTGTCCTTTCCACGTCCTACTAACTCCCTTTCTGCCAAAGGTTTGGTTATGAGTCTTAGTATCTGTTTTGAAACACTGTTAGGTAGAGTCTTTCAGAGGCCTTCTGCGGTACACTCCTGTCATATGTCCAATGCACGTCCCGTTTGTCTTTCTAAGGAGGATTAATCATCATACCCCATGTCTGCTTTCTTGTTTATCTTCTTTAGGTGTATAGATTTCATTATATTTATCATATCTTGTAGGTCTATATAAGTGAGTATATATACCATGTTTGTCTTCGTCTGGGATACTTCACTCAGACAACTTCCTGAACAGAACACCAACAGCACAGGCTCTAAGAGCAACAATCAACCATTGGGACCTCATGAAACTGAAAAGCTTCTGTAAAGCAAAGGACACCATCATCAAAACAAAACAAATGCTGGCAGATTGGGAAACAATCTTCACCAACCCTTTATCTGACATAGGGCTAATATCCAGTATCTATAAAGAACTAAAGAAGCTGAAAAGCAACAAACCAAGTAATCCAATTTAAAAATGGGGAACAGAGCTAAACAGAATTCTCAATAGAGGAATATCAAATGGCAGAGATACACTTAAAGAAATGCTCAACCTCATTAGCCATTAGGGAAATGCAAATTAAAATGACCCTGAGATTTCACCTTATACCCATCAGAATGGCCAAGATCAAAAACTCAAGTGACAACACATGCTGGAGAGGTTGTGGAGAAAGGGGAGTCCTCCTCCATTGCTGGTGGGAATGTAAACTGGTACGACCACTTTGGAACTCAATCTGGCACTTTCTCAGACAATTAGGAATAGTGCTTCCTCAAGACCCAGCTATACCACTGCTAGGTATATACCCAAAATTTGCTCAAGTACACAAGGACATTTGCTCAACCATATTTGTAGCAGCTTTATTTGTAATAGCCAGAACCTGGAAACAACCAAGATGTCCATCAACGGAGGAATGGATACAGAAATTGTGGTATTTTTACACAATGGAATACTACTCAGCAATCAAAAAGGAGGAAATCATGAAATTTGCAGGCAAATGGTGGGTTCTCCACCATATCTTAAATACCCCTCAACTCAAAGTCCATCCTACTCTTTAATCACTGTCAGCTAGTTTCATGTTCCACCTCTTGACCTAGGGTTAACTTTATTAGATTCGCTATTCAGAGAGCTCTTAGATTAAAGGTGTGTGCTAGACCTGGGTAAAACACACCATAATCACCTGCTTACAATAAACAGAAAGTTCATGGATTAAAGGTGTGTGATAGTGCTCAACTAAACCAAAGAAACAGGGATTTACAGTTCACAGTTTTGGGGATCACAATGGGATCCTGCAATACAGGGTGGGTGAGCTCAGCTTGAATGAAATATAGCATGCTTCCTCAGTTCAAACTGAGGTGAACACTTTCTCCTAATTATCAGCAATGAAAATGTATATTATGCTGTGTTACAAAAATAAATTAATATGTGAAAATCCATGGTTATGTTTGACATGAGTTGAAGCTGTAAAATCCTCCTGAAACATCCAGGCTGCAAAGGAAGCTGTGGAATGTGGAAACGACATGAGCTTGGGAAATTTTCATGACTGACACAACAGGAAAAGCGATGAGGAGGGGCCATGTGTGCCACTCTGCACGGTCCTGCTCTGCACTGCACATGGCTGTGACAACATTCCCCTGAGTTAAGGACGTCATCTGTCAGAGCTACAGGGAGTGCAGGACTTAGGTCTCTGAGGTGTGCTGACTTCTCCAGGGATTTTGCAAGCCAAGAGCCTTAGAGCAAAGACATCAAATGCCAAGTCAGATATTCTCACATTACAGTGAGGAAAAGGAAAACACAGATTTCCTTCAAGTCACTTTCTGTGTCAGAGTGGAATTGTTCCAGGCACTCACAGTTACTGGCCGTGAGGACAGTCTGACGGGTGCGAGTTCCAGAAGATAGGGGATGTGGACATACAACCCACATGGGGCTCACTCATTCCCTGAGACGATGATGACTATGAAGTGAGGGCAAACCTGTGGGGGTCTCACAGCTCACTTACGACTCAGTGAAACCCCTTGCAGCCATTTGATGACGGTCATCTCACTCAATGCCAGGCAGTGTTCTGTGTCAGGCTCCATCTATTTATTTTCTGCAGTGCTGGAAATTGAACTTAGGACCTCATGAATTCAAAGGAAGCACTCAATCACTGAACTGTGTTCCCAAGTGCTTTGCCAACACTGAAAACTTTAGCAATTACACAAGATTTTCCAGAGTTTTCCATCTTGAGTCGTGATATTTTAAAATCAAATATGGAGAATTTATGAAAATAATCTCAACTTATGGTACACAACAAATTTAGCATATAGGAAGGCCTTGAGCCTTAGTATTTAGAGAACTGTGTCCTCTGTGCTCTGACTTCCACAAACACAGTTAGGCATTCATTTGTGTTTTGCTTGCACATACAAACACAGTCTATCTATCTATCTATCTATCTATCTATCTATCTATCTATCTATCTATCTATCT